TATTACTACATCAATATTCACCCTAAAAATACAGAAGCAATTGCTTAAATTCTGCGAGACATACGAAGATTATTTCCAATGTATGCGAGAGGACGACAATTTATTATTCTAAATCACAAATTTGGCCTCTTTTATTTTTCCAAAAAGTTATTTATTTTTGAAAAATGTTAAAACGAATTGAAAATAATATTTAATTCATTAAAAATATTTACAGACTACTTTTTTTCTCTCAAAACTCTCATCGCGTATATTATTTATTACAGAGATTATATTATTAACTAAATCTTAAATTTTTAAAATATATTATATTTTATTATAATTTTATTTTTGTTTAATTTTAAAAATATTTGAAATTAAATCATGTTACTCATGTTGATACTCATCATTTATCATAAATAAATGAAATGAGTTGAGGATTCGATTATAACAAGTAAATAAAAAGAGGGTATGTAAATGAAATAGAAGAGGATAATTTTCATATAAAAATAGGTTATCTGTGAAAAAAGATAATTTTTAGTGTATACTGTAAAATATTAAACAGTTTTATATCAATATAAAGTTTCAGAAATGCAATTTATATTATAATAAAAATTTAATTAAGCAATAAAATTTGAAATAATGTGAAAGTAACATAGAGAGTTTAAACCGATAACTCTCTTTCCACATATATGAAGGTATGATAAATGACATTAATTGTCGGAAATTTTTTCATAGAACTAAAATAACTTCTTACTTATTATGATAGTTTCATAAAAACTGGAAACATAACCTAATTAATTAGATGTACTTTGTGCATGAAGCTTCACATGATGCCATTTGCTGTCATCAGTTTCTCTTCCTCCTCTTTTATCTTATGAAACAGGAATACAAGTAATACAAGTAAAAGTTCTAAAAAATAAATAAAAATAAAAATATGAGGTCATCCAAGGATCCTTGTCCGTATGCTGGCAAAAAAGTTAACTCATGGCATTTTCCTAAAGTGAAGATATGCTTCGGCAACTTCTAGAAAGTGTTAAACAACAGAAGTTATCGAAGTATTTATTATACTTATATTGCATTATTCCACACACCCAAAATTCTCTAAGATCAACTAGGAATGAATTCAACATTTTATCATTTTGATAACAAATTCTATACTGTGATATCTAGGCCCGAACGGACGGTTAGCATTCAAGATCGATCGGTCTATTTACTGCAACAACGCTCGTCGACCACACAACGTTCGCTAATTATGCAGATACCGAACGGTCATACATTCAACACCGTTCGGTCACCACTATAGTCAACAAGGACAATCAGTTTTATTAAATTGGGCTAGAGCTCATTGGGCCAAGTGTCCAGTGGATGATCAAAACAGTCAAAGATATCTGATTAAAAGATATTTTTGTTATTTAAATTCTTTTGTTGGAATAAACGTTTATGACACTACCATCACGCTTTATCAAATGCATTTGACCGTTCGGCCTTACATGTATTCAACCATTCGGCATCCCATGCATTCGATTACGCCGTTCGGCCTCACAGGCGCTCGGCCATCCGGCCCCACAGAAGCTCGACCTTCCGACCATCAGGCTCAAAGGCGCTCAGCCATCCGGCCTTACAGGCGCTCGGCCATCCGGCCTCACAGGCGCTCGGTCATCCGGCCTCACAGGCGCTCGGCCATCCAGCCTCACAGGCGCTCGGTCTCGTTGGCCTCACAGGCGCTCGACCAATCAGCCTTACAGGGTCGTCCACAAAACTCAGGGAACGTTCAAAACCGAACGGCAAAAATAGTCCCCCATGGACTATAAATCAAAGACAGTCCCCCATGGACTATAAATCAAAGACAGTCCCCCACGGACTATAAACCGAGCAGTAAAGACAATCCCACATGGACTATAAATCAAAGACAGTCCCCTATGGACTATAAATCAAGGATAATCCCCCATGGACTATAAACCGAGCAGTAAAGACAGTCTCCCGTGGACTATAAATCAAATATAGTCACCCATGGACTATAAATCAAAAGACAGTCCCCTAGGGACTATAAATCAAAGACAGTCCCCCATGGACTATAAATCAAAACACAGTCTCCCATGGACTATAAATCAAAGACAGTCCCCCATGGACTATAAATCAAAGACAGTTCCCCATGGACTATAAACCGAGCGATAACGACAGTCCTCCTGGAATATATAAACCAAGCGGTAAAGACAGTCCCTCATGGACTATCATCCGGACGAACGCTCACTCGTACGCATTCACCAGTACACGGCCATTCAACCTCAAAAGTGCTCAGCCATGCAGCCTCACAAGTACTAGGTCGTTCGGCTTCACAGACATTTGGCCATTTGGTCCAAAAAGTATTCAGCCAGTCGACTTCATATTGCAGGTAAACAAAAGCTATCAAAGTCGCTAATCAACATAGGGAAAAAGTTCTAAAAAGAACTCCAATCACAAGCTGATCGACCAATAGAACAAGGACTGCCTTCCCTAAGCTCATATAAGTCCTATACTTAACCTTGGGTAAAGCCAAACGGTTAACTCGGACTTGGGAAACATTATGTATAGTATGATATCTAGGCCGAACGGTTAGCATCCAACATCGATCGGTCTATCTACTGCAACAGTGCTCGTCAACCAGACAACGTTCATCAGCCAGGTCAAACCACGACAACGCTTGTCAATTATATAGATACCAAACGGTCATACATTCAGCACCGTTCGGTCAACCCTATAGCCAACAAGGGTAATCAGTTTTATTAAATTGGGCTAGCGCTTATTGGGCCAAGTGTTCAGTGGATGATCAAAACAGTCAAAGATATCTGATTAAAAGATATTCATAAAGTTGTTTATGAGCAACCGCTCGAATTTTAAGGGAAGTTTGTTTTCAACCACCCGAATTTTAAGGTAAGTCTGTTTGGCTTGTGACAACTTATAAATACAAGGTCAGGGACATCAACCAGGTAGGCTCAATTCATACTCCAAAACATTCCATTTACATTCTACTCATACTCTACTGAGTTCATAATACTCAATTATCATAATCATTTGTGAGCAACAGCTCCTTTTATAGACACCTAACTTGAGCGTCAGAGTGCCTTTTGCAGGTACTTCTCCCCTCGCCTCGGACTTGAAGAACTTGGAGCAGGAGATTCAGAGGTTAGAAGAAGGAAAGTCACGTCAGAAAGGTTAGTGTCTAGGTCCCACAAAAATTACCACTGAAACACAAATCAAATTGATTGATTATGAAATGGTTTTTTGTGAATGTTAAATTTTTTTTCTCAAATGCTCTTCTAGAGAAAACGTGTCACTAATTTATGGGTCATGCTGGCTTAAAAAAAGAGAAAAAAGAACGTTTTTCTTTTATGGGTTTCCAACGTTTCATGATGAACTACAGGTATGACAAAACCTCATTATGTTTTTGTGAAGAAATTTTATAATGAAAGATTTATTATTCTCTTACTTTATATTGATGACATGTTAATTATTCATCATGAAATGAACTATATTCAAAATGTGTAAAAGGAATTGAGAAAATCTTTTGCAAGAGATAATTTCATAGTAAAACAAATATTTGGCATGAAAGTTGTTCATGATAAGAGGAAATGGAAAATTGTATATAGAACAACAAAAATAGGTTGAGAAATTTAATATGAACAATTTTAAACTCGTTAAGACTTTGTTTTTACTTAAATGAATTTGGGGGAGAGTGATTGAATAGATTTGAGAGGATTTGAAAATAAATTTTTTGTAGTTTATTTGAGTAGATTTGGAGGTAAGTGTGAGAGTGGATTTGGAAGTAAAGTTTATGAAAATTAGTGTAGGATTTGATTGATATGACAGATTAAAAAAATTATTTTTAAATCCACTCTCACTTAACTCCAAATTCACTTGAATAAATAACAAAAAATTTAACTTTAAATTCTCTAAAATACATTCAATTATTTTCTCTCCACATCCATTTAAGTGAACAAAAGTGTAAGAATATACTAGCATATGTTACTTCAAATTGAGCTCATATTAATATTTTTATGGATTTCAAGGGTTTCAAGACATCATAAATTTAAGAGATGATTGGAAAACAAATTATAAGAAAGAGATTCACAGCGATTTACATGTTTATATTATTATAGTGAGTTAAATTATACGTGGTTAATGATATTACGCTTTTATGATATGTCTTGTATTTCTAACGTTTATAACTAAGTTATTTTGTCGTTATTGAGTGAAATAATCAGTAAATAACATTATGTTCTTTTATAAAAGTCATTGATATATAAAATAAAAATATTAATGCTTGTGTACTTAAATCATTAAATATTATATAATTAAATGTAATTTATATGAATATTCAAAATTTTACCAGTATAAATATCTATATCTATATATAAGTGAATTTTTCTTTTTGTTTTCACATTTGTTTTTTAATTTTATCTTTTAAATATATTTTTTAAATTAAAATGATTATTTTATTGATTTTATCCTTGTAATAATTCTTTTTTGGAAATTTAATCATTCTTTTTCTTTTTACTGTTTTTTAATCTTAACTATTTTATTGTTTTTTTTTATCAATGCTATCTTTAATGTACTATTTATTATACAGAGGGGCTTCATTTTGATATAAACATTTGTTTTACATTTTATCCTTTAAATAACTGATTTTATAAATTAAAATAATTACTTTACCATTTTATCGATTATTTTTTTTAAAATGATATTTTTTATTTGACTTTTTATTTTAAAATTATAACTATAACGATAATAATTTTGTTATTCTTGTTATCATAAAAAAATTGAACACATGTTTTCAGTAGTGTGTATATATATATATATATATATATATATATATATATTTATTTATATATTGGTCAAATTGAATTTTGAAATTTAATATTGGAAAATAAATTTTGACCTTGAAAAAAAATATAATTTCTCTAAAATGAATTAATATAAGATATTTTAATTTCTTTATTCAGATATTTAAAATTGTTGAAACCTGTTCTTCCAACAAGAAAAAGCCTTCACCCTTCACCCTGTTGGGCTACCTTTTTAGATCGGGCTAGCCCATACCAAAACAATGCTTCATTGTTTTTTATTTTATTCTTATATCTGAGTTTCTAACTTTCATATCTGTACTTTGTCCACCATTTTCTGTTTCTAACTTCCTTCAATCATAAACTTTAAATTTGAGCTTTCAATTATATCCCCTGCGTGGTGTGGAACAGTGTGGAGAATCACCCAAAATGCTGTGCAAGCTTTTAAAGGAGTATTTGTAAAATGCACAAGTAAAGGTATCTATATAATTTAATTTGAAGTAGAGTAAAAGTTGGAGCAAACAATATGAAGAAGGAGGAAATTTAGAGAGAAAAGTGTTGATGAGATTTGAGAAATGGTGATAACACTAAGCCAAAAGCCAAAAATTCTTGTGGCGTTTGGTAGTAATCAAGTAGCCTCCATGTTTCTTATTCTTCCTCCTTATGGCAATTGTCATGCAAGGTGAGTTCTGTATACAATACTCGACTAAGCCAGGTCTTGTTCCTTTTCGTGCCCATGTTCGCAAGATGCACCTTAAGAAGGATCGTTTTCTTTGTCCCACAACCAATAATGACACCCTCTGTTGCTTTGCCTCTTCCACTATGGCAACACCCTTTTCCTCTCCTTCCAACATCACTACATTCACCACCACCTGAAACCCCACAACAACAACAACACGGTTAGTACACTACTTCTTCTTCTCTTGCATCTCCATTTCATCACAAAACAAACTTACCCCTGCTCTCTTCCTTTCGCACATGCTTTTCATATCAAGGAGAAGTTTATAAGCCTTCACATTAAACTTCCCTCCAGATTCCCTATCTGTCAATACAAACACACTGCTTTTGTTAATATTTGTACACAATTCACTTGCCTATTTAATTTGCCTCTCTTTTTTACCTCTTTTCTACGGCTTTAGCCAATTTTTAAGTGCATGCTAATTAGAATAAGGTAGAATCAGAAAATAACAGAATATCACTTCTGACCTTCCATGTTGGGTCTGGTGACATGAACAAGAACAAGAGTGTCTTGGCTTTGAACAGTGTGAGAAAGTGCCCAATCAAGAGCCCCTTTAGCTTCAAAGCTAGAATCCACAACCACCATTATCTTGTTGCCTTCGTCTGCCCCATTAGAGTGGTGGCCTGTAAACTCTGTTCTGTTCGCATATTTGATGGAAGCAGAGGAGGGAGACTTGGAGCGAAAAGTAGATGCAGAACAGGCTCGAACACGAGGCGTGGCGTGACCAAAGCACAGCCTGATACGTGGTTTTCCCATGTTGTTTTGGTCCCAAAACACTCAAACTGTATCCTTATATACACACAATAATAGGAACAAAATTAATGAAGGACAGCTTCTTTGTCGTACTCTCACTCACCCTTGACTTTGAACCTCTTTGTTCTCTTATGTCTCTCCTTCAAATGCTAATTAATGGTTTCTTCGTCTGTTTCCGTGTGATGTCTTCGATGTGGGCCTAATCTTGAACGTGCCAACCATCAAGAAGAGTTTGCATGATAAACCGGAGTTGACAATGTTGACATAAATTCTTTAATCCTTAATGGTTTTCCACACGCGTGGAAGAATAATTCTCGACACAACACCCACCAATACAAAATTATTAACTTAGAATTGTGCGCACTGATCATTAAACAAAAAAAATAAAAGCACTTATATCAGTTTGTGGAGTCATGGAGATCACGTTGATTTAGAATTTTAAGCGATCGAAACATGGAGTCACGTAATCTCAATCATTCAGAGATTCCTTCATCACAGAACTCACAAAACATCCTTCCATTATTGGATGGGAGGATGTTCTATGTAAAAGGAAACGATGACAATTAAGCTCCCAAAGATATGATTAAACATGTTCCTTTCCTTGCGATAATTTTGTGAAGAATTAAATAAGTGTGTCAAATCTAATCAACATTAATTTATAAGCAGAAGATCTAAATAGAAATAGTTGATGTTTCTGCTTAATTCTTTACAAATTATATCCACCTGATTCTCTATTATTTATTTAAAAGAGTGTAACGTTAACCTCAGTTTATATTTAAAAGGATGAAACAAGCTTCAAATAGAATGAAATAAAATAATAGCATTAATTGCCATTATTTGACTTATATAAAACCATAATAATATAAAATTAAGGTAAAATGAAGTAAAAACTTTCAATTAGGTCTTTGTTAAATTTTTTGGTCCAATACTGTTTGGCCCACATCAATTTGTGAATCTCAGCCATTTCGTTCAAGAGGGTTATCCCTACACCATCACACATTGCTCCTTGTATCACCACATTTTTTTTTAAATTCCAAAACTATTCTTTATATTTTAAAATATCCTACACCTCCTCCTTTTCTCTTGAACGGATGTCCCACATCTCTTTAGTGTTTTTTTTTTTAAGTTTTTAGTTTTTTTAAGTTTTTAAATTAATATATAAATATTATTTAATTTTTTTAAAAATTATTACTTAATTATTTATAAATTAATTTTATTTTATTTAAAATAATTATTATTAATTTAATTTATGTATTATTATATTAAATAATAATTAAAATACTTTTTAAAAATTTAATAAAACGGATACGGATGCTACTGTGAAGTTCTTTTCTTTTTAAAGTTTTTAGTTTTTTATTTTATTATATTTTAAATTAATATATAAATATTATTTAAATTTTTAAAATTATTATTTAATTAATTATAAATTAATTTTATTTTATTTAATAAAATAATTATTATTAATTTAATTTATGTATTATTACTTAAATAATAAAATAGTTTTTAAAATTTTATTAAAATGGATGTGGCAACATCCATGAAGTTTTTTCTTTTTAATTTTTTAGTTTTTAATTTATTATATTTTAAATTAATATATAAATATTATTTAATTAATTTAAAATTATTACTTAATTATTTATGAATTAATTTTATTTTATTTAATAAAATAATTATTATTATTTATTTTATATATTATTATTTAAATAATAATCAAAATAGTTTTAAAAATTTTATTAAAACGGATGTGGCAATCCCTCGCCACATCTGTTGAAGATTTTTTTTTCTTTTTAAATTAAAAAAATATATTAAAATATAAAATATATGAACGGATAGATGTCAATATCCGTTGAAGGTGAAACGGATGTTGATATCCGTTTTAGAGAAGGACAAAATTGGTATGAAGTGGTGTATGAAACATTTGATGGTGGTGGAATGGAGCAACTGCCTTCGTTCAATGGTTTGGAGTCTAGAGTTCTGTAGCCCAAAAAAGGAGGGGTCATGGAGTTCAAAAACATAAAAAAATTCAAAATAAAATTAGGATTAAATAATTTCATATTCAATACAAATAAACTTAAACAATTCCTATTTATATATTTATAGTATCATAGTTCCTCTACCGAATCGTGATAATTGTTCATACTACATGTAACAAAACCAACTACCCCAAAGAATAAGTAGCTAAAAAAATTGATCTCAATATTACACGGTTTAACATTTTAGACAAATACATTGAAATTGTAATAATCACTTTTTAATTTTTACATTTATTCTTGAAGTCTTCGACGACAACTCATTTTGTGTTAATTACAAAACTACCACGATTGATTTTAGTGGCGCGACTGCCACATCATTGCCCGAAACAACATCTATGCTTATGTCAACAGTTTCGCAATTAGCAATGTTGGATTTATTTGAAACTTAGAAAATTCTGAAAAATGAAGTATACAAAATTAAAGAATATCAATGTCATAATTTTTAAATAGGTTAAAACTATCGGATGATATTCTTATTTGTATTGGATTTTCAATTCGGTTTTTTCGATTTTAATTATTTCAATTAAGTTTTCATTTTTTAAAATAAGATGCAATTTGGTCTTATTTTTTTTTAATAAAGTACCAATGATGTTAACTCAGTACCACGTGGTTTTGTTAATTTTTTTAACTTATTATTTTTTTAAAAAATTTATTTTATATATTTTAAAAAAAATTGTCACATGTCAAATGAAGATTTTACCATCTGGTAGAGATAGTGTGACATGACAATGTCATTAGTTACGGTTAAAAAGGTGTCATATGCAAAAATATTTAATTTAATCATTTTATTTGTATTTTGTCACAATTCAGTCTTTTTTTTTTAAATTGGAGCAATTTCATTCATCTTCAAATTAAGACTAAGTTTAACTTTTTTTTATAGATGTATAATGATGTTTTCATTACAATTGATATTTTTATTAAATATTTGTAACAATATTAAATTTATTTAAATTTATATTTTCTATTGAACTTTATTTAAATTTTGTTTCAAATATTTATATATTAATAAATTCTATATAAATGTCAGAGTTGATTTAAAAATAAAAATCTTATAAATTCAAATATAAAATTTAAAATAGTTTTATAACAATTTAAAATTTAAAAACAAAATTTAAATAAAGTTTAATGTAAAATATTAATTTAAATAAACTTGATTTTATTAAAAATATTAATAAAAATATCAATTTTAATAAAAATATCATTATAACATTTATAACATCTATTAAAAGTGAAAAAATGTCAAACCTGACCGTTTAACTCTGGTTCGATATTTGACTCCAAAATAAAAAAAAAAACATCACTGGTTGGATTCTCTATTTTGTATAGATGTGGAGTCTAAAAATACATCCTTCAATCCTAAAATTAATATTTGATATTGATTATTAAACAAATGACAATAACAAATATCTAAAAGAACAAATAAAATTTTTGGAATCCTAAACTAAGTTTAAGCCACCATTATTTAACTTTTGAACGATGATTTCATCAATACAACTTTTTTTCATTATAAAAATTTGTTCAAATATGAAACTTTGAAAAGAAAATCTTACCCATCAACATTCCAAACTTTTCGAAAGATGAATCAAAGTAGTATTCTAAACCAAATATGTTAAGAATTAATAAGTAAATACACCAAAAAATAATCTATTTTAAGGTTTGACAATTTAATTATTAATGGTACCATAAATACATATCACTTACCTCGTTATCTCAAACTTATATTTATAGGCATTGAAATAAGTTTTTGATTAATAATGACCTAATTATGACCAAATTGTTAATAATGACATTTTATCTCTAAGTTGTTCAGCAATAAAGTTAATCATCTTGACCATAGACCAATCAGTCCAACTTCCCAACCATCTGATCTTGATGATAGCTTTTTTTATAGGTCCCAATAACAGTTGATCATTTGATCTGTGACTGACCAGACGATCATATGGTGCACGTATTATAATTAAAAATTACGTTTAGTCAAGTTCACTTTATGTTTTAATGTAGTCATTATTTAATGCATATGTCATAGAGTGGAAAGTAAGAGAGAGTTGGAAAAGGGGTAAAGATCAAGTTCAATATAAATTAAGTAGAAACTTATGGATAACATAAATACTTTTTTTTCAAGTTAAATGTTATCTTTTTCTTAATTAAATTATATAAGAAATTTTATTTTTCCACAATAGTTTATGTATTCAATGCACTTTATTTAGTATTTATGTTGATTAAATATATACATTTCCTATCTTAGTTGAAAGTCTACATCTTATTAGTAAAGATGTTTAAGGTATCTTACTTTGTTCACTTATCCTTTTTATTTCTTCATATATGTGTCAATTTTTTATTATTTCATTTTTTTTAGTTTTATTATTAATTTATTAGTGCATGGAATGTCGACACTAAAAAACACTATCAGTATAATCAAAACTTGAGGCAAACAACAGAGGAGTGCGCAATCCTCTACAACAAGATAGAGAAGTTGATCCAGGCGGGTCACCTCCATATGTATGTTAAAATCGACCATCCAAAGAAGGTGATGTACATGTTAGCGAAAGCGAACACCTCATACAATGTGCTAATTGGGCGACCATGTCTGACTGATTTTGGTGCAATCGTCACCACGTCTCACCTAGTTATGAAGTTCCCTTCTAATAGGGGAACAATATGCACAATCCACGCAGACCATAAGACCGCTCAAGAGTGTTACGTGATAGAGTTAAAAGTTAAATCCTACATACCTTTCAAGAAGAAAGAGATTCGAGGTGACGATGATCGATTTAGACCCATGAACAAACACAAAAGACCATGTGGAGCCACAAAGCGACATCAAGTTGTTAGGTCTTAGTAAAAAAAAGGTCAAGTCATGAACGTTGACAATTCCTTGAGTCGAGAGCATGAGAAGGCTCTAGAAAGGACACCGAAGGTTAACATTAACTTATTTACTTGGACAACTATGAATATGTCGAACATTCATTCTAGCATGATTTTGTTCGAAAAAAACATCATGTAAGAAGAAAATGGTG